TCATGCCCACCGCCGTCTTCTTTGTGCACGGACACCTATGGAGTCCAGAATCAAGATGCTCACGGCTTTGGTGCGAAGCTCAGCAATGTGGGGGTGTGCTACCTGGCCCAACAACACCGCACTGCTAAGGACGGCCAAAACCCTGCCAGCTGAGCTGCGTCAGAGCCATGCCTGGGACAAAGCGACGCCCCTCGGAGACGTGGGCGGAGTGGCAAGTGGGGACCATGAGAAGGGCTGGTCCACATACGCCTTGCGGCAGATGTGGAAGCTACATGGTCACACAGCGAGGCATCCGGGGCCCACAAACGACCTGCTGCTCTGGCGCAACTTGAAATTGTGGAAAGAAATTGCAGAACCCACTGGATGGCATAGCGAAGATAGGGGGCTACGACTGGGTGGTGGATGGCCCTGCAAGAGAACTTTGTGGCGCGTTTGATCTGCCATGGGCCAGTGGAAGGCAGAAGGCCATTGGCAACCTCACTCCAGTTCGGGACCCAGCTGATGCACACGATGAAGTCACACTCTGGAGCCGCGAACAGACAGTCACACAAAGTGGGCTGCAAACAGGGGCGAGGCACAGAACGTGTACAACCACCTTGCACACACACACACATGCATGATGCATACTCACCAGCTTGTTTCGAATTTGTTGAAAGTGGCCGCTTTAAGGTCGTGTGCCGAGCCCAGGCCCAGGCCAAGCAAGAACAGTCAGCCGCCCCACGTGTCTGTGTAGTCCTTTAACGTGTGCTTGCATAGTGTGTTGTCACCCGTACTGTGAAGCGGGGCTGACTGAAAGTTTCTGAGCACAGAACGCGGAGCGAAGCAGTCAAGCATAGTCTGTAAGTATCACACGTTACTGATAAAGTTTAAATTTGAACAGAGCTGGCAGCAACAACCTCTAACCGTGCAAACCCCAACCCTGCATGAATGATCGTAAAGCATGACGAACAACCAACCAACATCTGCAGTAACATCATCAGCATCATTGCAGCAGCATCACTGCAGCAGCATCACTGCAGCAGCATCACTGCAGCAGCATCACTGCAGCATCACCATAAACTGTTGATGTCGTCATGTTAGGGAACACGAATATCTCATCGGCTCCAGACATCATCTCAGGTGTCTGTGGTTGCAAGAGAACACAAACCGGAGCATGTTGGAAGTTGTGGGGTTGTGAGATCCGCTCCTGTCGCCTAGAGCCTCCGCCTTGCTGCCAAGTGCCCAGCCCCAGAACAACTAGCAGGTACCGTCGAATCGGCAGCAGCTGTGAAGGTATTTGTTGTATGACCACCGGGGCGAGACCAACAACACTTAGTGGAAGAGCCACAGAGTGAGAAGAGCAGCAATCGGAGCGTGAGCCGGGGAGAGTGAATTTCGCGAGTTCTAGCTGCGATTGTTTAGGAGCTACTACGCTAAGCCCCTGGAGTGCCTGAACCACTTTTCGCGCGTAAAACCGTGCACACCTTCAACCAGACGGGCTGCTCCCGCTGGGGCGTGCCTTCAAGCCTGAGGAAAGAGAGAGAGAGAGAGAGAGAGAGAGACAGAGAGAGAGAGGGAGAGCGATAACACGCCACACGGGGGGACCGTCTCTATATAAAAACCCAGCCCATCCTTGAGAATCAGGGATGGAGTTGCTCTAACGAGCGGCCACAGGGACTGCCTGCGGCTCACACCCCGGAGCAAAGCAAAGCAAAGCAAAGAGAGAGCGATAGCGAGCAATATTTTCCCGTTGAGGTTCCGTGTTCGTGCGGGGACCCGGTCTGTCACCTTGGTTGCTCACGTTTTTACTTTGGTCATCGAGCTTTGGTTTCTGGGAGGTGTAGCCGCTCGGTCGCCTGGGGAATGTAGTCATCATGGTTTCATGCTCGGGGCCGTGCGTTCGATGACACAGTTCGTTCCATCGGGCCAGGTCATGGTCAGCGGACGAACACTCGAAAACTCTCGCCGGACTTAGCACGGAAACCCGAAAGCTCGCCTAGAGCCCGCAAGTTGCAAGTTTGAACCGGTACGTTTTCAGACAGTGTAAGTCGTACCTGCATGCGATAGACTTCGGAGCTACGACGCCAGAACTGAAATCATTACCAGGAGATGGAAGAGACCACCAAGGAGCCGCGAGCTGCTGTGTGACCTATGTAGGTAGCCCGAACTTGATAAAGCTTGGAAGAATGGCATGGAGGAGTTTGAAGACTTGGCGACCTGGTTGAAGAAGCAGCTCGGCCCCTCGGCAGAAGAGGCGACAGGCGATATCACGCCGCTACTTGTAGCAGCAATCTTCGGCTCAGCCCGTTGTTGACTGGAGACCGGAGGCGAGCGAGTGCAGAAGGTGCAAATCTCCGATCGCCTCGTAGAGTCCCCTGCCACACTGGTGCAGGGTGCTGCTCGCTTGCATGGATTCGGCCGTGAAAATCGGTGTTAAATGGTCGTGATGATTCCAAGTCAAATCACTGGTGGAACCTCGCTGCTGATGTCTGCGGGCATCTTCATTGCGACTGACATGCGCTTTGTCCCAGGAATGGGGCATGTCGCCCATGATGCAGCGCTACATGAAGTCTCAAACAACATCCAGCGCTTCTGACAGCGCCTTCGCCATTGGCTCGAGGAATCAGGCCTTGTCTTCATGCAGGTTTTGCTGCACTCGTCATCAGGGATGGCAAAAGACCAAAGATGCATCCTCGCTGCCAGGCCATTTTGGAGATCAACCCTTCGCACAATGTGGTGAAGGCAGAGACGTTGCCATTCTATTCCGTTCAGCCGCCTTCTGCCTGGGAGCAGGCCCTAAAGAATGCTTACGAGACCAAGCCTGATTCCGTCGAGACAGAAGACATGGCATCTGGGACATTCAGGGTGGTGAGGGGTTGTGAATGGTTGTGAGGCGTGAGGGGGCAGCCGAGCCGAAAGTTTCGGATTCAAAGCATTTGAGGTGATGATGATCTACGAGACGGCAGCCTTGATTGGGGGCTACACAATCGAAGACCCAGGCGCACTGGGAACTCGCCAAAGGAAGAGTTTGGCGCAAGCCTTCGGCTCTGCCTCGAGGTGACTTCGCCAAGCGAGTCACGAAGCTCATGGAGCTGCAGGCAGAGGGAGCAGGTGCTGCTCGCGCTTTGCATGGTTTCTCCATCAAAGTCCTGGAAGAAGGAAGCAGCCCTTACTTAGGTGCTGGCACCCAGGATGCTGAAGTCGTGGGTTAGAGAGCCTCTTCTGCATTCCTGTGGCGCGAGTTGAGCCTTGCTTGGTCGGGTAGGAAGCGCTTATCCAACCTGCACGATTGCTGCTATGAATAATGTTGCATTCCTCCGCACTCAAGTGGGGGCAACCTCCCTACCCCCCGCCCCTGCTCCAGACTGGTGGTGTGGGCCAAGACTGCCTCGCCACCACACACCACAGTAGCCGAAGTCTGCCTCGCTCCGATGGGCTGGCTGCAGCAGACTTAAGCGAGACCCCTCTACCTCCTCTTGAGCTGAGGAGCAGCCAGACTTTACTATAGATTTTAGCATTCTTGGAGATCCCCGTTCCCACCCGTGTTGCATTAATCATTGCAAACGGCGGCATAGCCAAAATTATCGAAGTTGGCGATGCGGGTAGTGAGTATGGGTTGGCAACCCTGTGTGCGAGTGGGCCAAGTAGTTGAAGCCAGAAACGGTACTTAGGCGCAAGTTCAGTTGCGGAGCTTGGTTATGACCAACTACGCAACATGGCTCAAGAAGGGGTCAAGTAGGGTGATCACGTCTCCGTCTTCCGGGCAAGGCTTGCTCAGCTGGCAGCGCTAGACATGTAACTCATGCAGGACAGGAGGCCGCAATCCCCGACTGCACAGCTTGGCTTTGCTGCGTAAGGAGCCAGAAGATGACGGCCACTTCCCTGACCAAGCGATGATTCTGTCTAAGATTCCAAGGCTCTGCTGCGAAGCGGGGCCAAAAGAAGAATCGAGCCCAACGGCTACACCGGTGCTTTCGCAGCCGAGAGGAAGACCCTAGTCAGTACATCGTGTGTTGTGCAAGAAGTCTGTTTTTCCTGCTCAGTTGCTGCTGCACTGCACCTGCTAGCCGCCAAGTTCTCGTCAGTGATGGCCCACACAAAGTATGCTGCAAGGGGCTGGAACATGCTCCACAGACACGCAGCCGATGCTGCTCCTGACTATGCTCCGATAGTGATAGGTGCGACACAAAGCCGAAGAGCGCAAAGCCTTGTCTCCAAAATGCTGTACTGTCCCAATGTGGGCGTGGCAGCGCCTTGCAGCTTGAAGCCATCCAGAGAAGTCAGAAGTCCACAGAGTGCCGCAAAGGATCCTTGACGAGTGTCGTGCACTGTCAACAACAGGATTGCCGTCGACATCCCAATTGGATGAACCAGACCTGCCGATGCTGCAGACTTAGCGGCACTGGTTCAAACATGTGTTCAACAAGACAAGAGACCTCAGAAACAGTTTGCAATCCGCGGCCATGCAAAAAGGAAGCAGTCTTGGCTGAGCGTTCAAAATAACGCATAGTGGGACCAATGATGTCGCAGTAGAACTGGAACCCATTCATTGTCGACTTTTAGGGATATACGAGCATGAGCAAGAGCAATGTGCACGATACTAGCGACCACTAGTCTGAAGATAGTACCGGTAGTAGCAACTTTAACAAGTTCAACCTCGATGTGATCAGCTGATCAGCCAGATAACAAAGAATAACCATGTGCATAGGTATTCATCTCTGCCTGTATTGGCATAAACTGGCATAAGTGTTCATTCAAGTGCTGCGTATGAATTTTCGTTTGCCCCTGTGCTGCACATGTGTCTGTCATATCATCCATAGTTTGCTAAGACGACTTGCAGGAAATTAGCATAGCTGCGTAGCTTAGACGATACTTCTCGGCAGGCAGGGCTGTTTTGGGTTCCGTGTGGTTATCCGGAGGTGCAACAGGTCAGATGCCGACAAGGAGATCAGGTCACCGGAAACCGTGCAGAGATCTGCTGAGCTTGGGGATGTTAAGGCGGGTCGGAGCGCCTTGTGGAGGCAAGCCCGAAGAGCCGGCAAGGCGTTGCCGCCTCTTGGTCTCCAGCCTGAGGCCTAGATGAGCCTAGACGAGCCTGGACGTATCTTCTGTGCCAAACCAGGTGTTTTAAAGGATCTGTTCGGCCGTGGAAAGCAATGAATGCGGGAAACTAGTATGATGGCATGCGAGGCAAGGGAGATGGCGATGGTGCTACTGATGATCTCAATGGCGGTGACGATGATGTAGTAGTGTAGGATGACGCTCATCCTTGCTCCCCACGCTACGCTTCGGGTCGTCGTCGAAAGGCTGTCGTGGACGTTCAAGGCGGCAGTCGACGTTTCTAGATCCGGTATCAAGCTGTAAAGAGCCGGGTCCAACGATCGGCGTAGCGCCTACAGGATTCCAGATTAGCCGTGAGGTCCCAGAGCTTGGCCGTCAGAGCCCGCCGGGGGCTGAGTAGGAAGTCTTTCGCGTGATGCCGGGTTCAGCCGTAACGGGATGTGCATTTGCTTTGCAATGTCTCCATTTCTTGAACGCTACTCCTAGCAACTCACTCCGGTGTCTTCAGTCGCTAGAGCCGTACTGGTGCCTCTGTTTAACTGCCTCACAGCGTCTAAATCGTTCGGCACCCGGTACAGTTTGCGGACATGACAGCCGCCCCGGTCGCCTGCAAAAGCTGTGGCCCAAGCTTGGAAGGCACAGGGGTTTGATAGTTTAAGACCTCTTGCTCGAGCCATGTTGCAGAAGTGCACGTCGCCGAGCAAGCCGAGCAGTGTCCTGCGCGAGGATGCGCCGGGGGGGGGGGAGCTAAAGAAGCGGTTTACATCTTGGTATCCCAGCTGCGAACTTTGAAAAATGTTGCACCCCAAATCAAGCCAGTCATACACCGAAGTCTTCGAGCGCCGGTGCTCTACGAATGAAGACACCATGGCCTTCACAGGGGTTTAGCTTTACCTACAAGGGAAGCCAGTGGAGTGACAAGTATCTTCTTATGAATGCTGGTTATTGTGCCCTGTGCCCAGAGGACAGGCGGGGGGCGCATGGCAGGGACGGCCCCTGTAGGTTATTGAAAACGACTCGCCTAACTTCAGTCACAAGTCGCCATTGCAGCTGTCATCTACATTGCTCTTGGGCCATGCAGGAGCTGGGGGGATGTTCCAAGCAGGAGATGCAACGGATGACCTCTACCTCGAGCACCGAGTACGGCTCATCGGACATGGATCTTTCCCCGCGATCCTACACGTCTTGGAGCTCGGAGTTCGATTGTTTCGGAAACACCAAGAAGGACTGCCACTTTGCGAAGTTGCAGGACGGGAGACACTTGCAAGAGGTGATGCTCCAATCCTCTCTCGAAATGATGACCTTTCCGCAATGATGCTGTCATGCAACGAAACCTGCTCCAGCCAAACCAAACTGCTAAGCTCCATTAGCCATCGAGCTGGTCGCCAACTGAGCGAGAATTTGCAATTTGGTAAACTGTAATGCGCGCACCCGAACGCAAGTAAGTGGCAACATTCACCCCGAATCTGGAGAGACCGGGTTCCGTGGCCAAGAGCACACTTCGATGGAGGATGCGGGAACCCAAAGCTGCAAGCGCTTGAATCGAGGAGCTGAATGTCTTTCGAAGCCTCGTCGAAAATGATCACCAGAGCCCCTCGTCGACAAGGAAGTCAACCATGGCACATGCGCGTTTTAGAGCGGAAGCAAGAGCGAGCGAGCGAGCGAGAGAGAGAGAGAGAGTACGGGACCCTTCCGCCGTAGAGCGGCATGGACTGTCAGCACTGCCAGCAACCAGCAATGTGAAGACTGTTGAAGCGAAGGCTTTTGTCTTCCAACGGGCACTTCTGGTTGTAGCCCTTCCCCTGTTTGCGCATGTCATGACGCCAGCTTAGATTCTGCTGACTTGAGGCTTGGGCTTGTCTCGCTGTGGTGTGATTGATCGGATGCGCTTTGCTGCTTCCTGTGTTCGCATGGCCGTCGCCGAGTACGACAATCTGAACCAAAACGGACACATGTTTCATGGCTTTGGGAGGATATGCTTTGTTTTGGTGGAGGCTGAGCTGTAGCCAGGTTTGATGAAGCTAGAAGAAGCTGGCGCCTGTAGCCGTTGAGACTATGTGACTATGTCAGGTGCTTCCCCGGCGAGGAGGCTCGGACGACTGGAGACGAACTTCCATGCTGCCGGAAGCTTTGAACCAGTCAAACACATGCCCTAGCGAGGGTTTCTAATGCGGCAGCCAGAACTTCTTGTACCAAAGGTTCCTTCCAGCTAGGAAGGTCTGTACTCCGATTCTGCCTCCCAGGTGCCACTGGTGAGTTTTCTGAGCAATAACGGCGGCATAAACCGTTCGGCGCACTCAGTTTCCTGATCACAATCGGAACGAGCCCTGGATCTCCAGGATGCCGTCCGAATTCGCTTCTGCGTATGCCAGCATTTAATTTTATCCTGTCCAGGAACTGCGAACACGCATGGAGAATCCCGGACCGAATCCCGAAGCGCAGGAAGGCATTGAGGTCTTCGAAGGCCCAGGAACTCCAACATCTCATCTCGCCAGAGCTGAATTGTGCCCACCCACGAAAAGGGCCGACACCTTCCTGCGAACTTAGTGAGGAAAACTCATTTTGCAAGCTCTGTACGAGCTTGTCGATGTAATGATGTGACTTCCTGCAAATGCAGGCCGACAGCACTCAAGCAGCTTCTGCTCGAGGACCAAAAGCTACAGACCAAGCGCTGCGTAGCGTGGCGGGGCCCATCCAGGGCCACAAGCGCCCCCCTGCTCGCATGAACCTTAGGACATGTTCGAAAGCATCAGCCATTCTGATCAGCCTTGGGCTCAATCCGAAATGGCACCTTTAGGCCATCTACGGAAAATGCTTCAGGCAGAAGTCGGTGAGGGATTCTGCTGACTGGATGGACTTCTTCGATGTCTTGCGCAAAGGCCGCTTGTAAACTGTTGCGGGCCGGGTCAGTGGCCTGGGCTAGCGCTTCGGATCACATGCCACAGGCTGTACGTTCGGCGGGACGAAGAAGTCGAAGGAGGTGGCATTTGGCAAGCGGAAGCCGCCAGATCCGGCCATCAGGACGGGGGCCCACTGGGAGTGTTGTCAGCTTCACGCCAGAGTCAGAGAGGAGCTTGAGGAAATAGGCCACAGATTGACACACAGCATATACTTTCTAATGTACAATAAGTACAATGTGGGCGCGTTCAGCCCCGGGTGTTCTATGGTGCAACGGAGTTTCCTGCCAGCTGTGGAACCTAGCTAGAATCTGCCCGACATCGAAAGAGCATTTTCGCCGAGATCGTGAGAGGGCTTGCAAAATAACTTGACGCACTCCCTCGGAGGCCTCAGGCCAGGTCCACATTGGCCTCACGAAGTAGAAGCAAAGCCTTGGCTGAAACAGAGGGATAGTGCAGATAGTGGTCCAACAATCTACGTTGCGTACAATACTGTACATGTAGAACGGAGCCAAAACGTGGGGTGCACCTTTCAACGTGGAGTTTGAGTGGGGTGGTTGTCGAAACATGCAAAAAGTGCCTACTCCAAGTTCTCCGAGGAGCGAGAGCAAAATACAGTAAGTTGCCCGGGGATTTGAAAGCAAGCCGGTGCCTTCATGATACATCCTAGTAGGCAGCCTGCTATAATGTGCACAGTGACCCTTTCCGCGGCACTCTTGAGAAAGACTGCTTCTTCGATGAAGCTCTGGTCGAGGCCTTCGCCAAGCCCGCGATCAAGCACGGTCCTGGACTATTTCGGCCTCGACCACGGAGATGCTGCTGCAAAGGACTAGGGTTAGCACGGGCAGCAAGTTTTGTTTGGTCGCTCGAGTTTACGCTAGATTTGACCAGGGGGCATCATGCAGTGCAAGGAAACCTGTGTAATTTGCAAGACCTGAAGCCATGAACAGATGCGATCCAGTTCGTGGAGGGATACGCGTCGTCTCAGTTGAGATGGGGTCTAGGGTTACCTTTCTGTGGAGACACTTGGCCTCCTCCAACATTGGATAAGTGCCTACGAGTCTGAGGTCTTCTATGACAAGCTGACCTAAAACTAGTCGTGCTGAAAGTTTTCGGAAAGTGCGAGTGTAAGCATCGAAAACCCCTGAACCCCTATGTCCTCCTTTAGATCCCTTAGGAAGCCCGAACGGAAGCCTCTAGCAGCCAGGACCAAGCAGAACCGAAGGAGGCCAAGGTCGCGAAAGCCAAGGCCAACGGGCAAGGCCCGCGGCTTTCCGGAGGCTAAGCTTATGCAGGGTGTATGCATGCGCATTCATGTCAATGTGTATGTAATCGCATCCGTACGTGTGTGTATATATATATACACATCTAATATATAATATAAATACAGTGTACGGGTACATGGACGCATCTGCACGTGCATGCGTGTTGTCGAAATGGTTCTGTGCGTGCATAGATGCATACATCCAAACATACGAACGTGCATACATTTAACACACACACACACACACACACGCATGCATATGTGTATTATGTGTGTATACATACATATGTATATATATATATATATATATATATATATATATATATATATATATATATATATATACATATGTTATATGTATCAGGTATGCATGGTTTATATGACCTTGTAGGGTTTGACACATGGGTCCGTAATGGTTTGCTTCACGCACTGCTGTTGCGTCGTTTCTATTCGGACTTGTGGTGTGTGGGTGTGGAGCGGAGAGCGTTCCCGCCGACCTTACCTGGGAACCCAAACCGTGACACCCAGAACCGCTGCACCACGCAAATACCAGTAGTTTGGGCATGGTCGACATCTGAATGGGCACTGCTACCCCCCCCCCCCCCCAAACAAAAGAAAGAAAGAACTGCATAAAGAGCAAGGGTATGGCTCGAGCACGAGTGACAAACAAAAAACAAGAACGGAAAGAAACACCTGAAGCAGCAACGACAAGCAGATTGAGAGAATTGTAAAGGATACGCCGGCTCAAAAGAAATGACTAGCAAGCCCTTGATTCACCCATCCACAGCTGCCATTCCGTGGGCAGCTCTGTCAGGAGAAAAGAGAGATAAGAGAGCACGCAGCTGGTCAAAAGGAGAGGCCAAACAACAGGAGGAGGCTCCGGACAAGCGCGCCGTGCAGCAGAAGCAAGAGGCCGTGGCAGCCTTGCGTCGGCGGCATCGCATCCACGTGAGCCCTGGCACGCCGGATCCCGTGGAGTCCTTCGACAACATGGCCAACAGGAGCCTCGGAAATCTTAAAGGAGATCAGCTGGTGCTGCAAACTCTATTCATGTAGTAGACTGTAAGTGGTTGAATTGCCTGGGCCGGCATAGTGTCAGATTGATTTTTCTCTCATTTGCACAGGCTTTGCATGTAGGGCATCCGAATTGCAGGGGGGTTCCACCATGGCTGGTCCGCAATCTGACTTCTTTGGGCTTCTCCCAGCCAACTCCGATTCAGATG